TCTTTGTACTGTGTTTAATTAAGTACTTTTTGGCTTGTAATAATAGCACTAGTGATATTTAGAATGGAAGGGTGAGAGGGGAAGGAAAGCAAAGAAGTTAAAGGAAACGGGAAAACAAATAAACAAGTAGAAAAAAAACAAAACAAAGAAAGAAATAAAAAAAGTTTCAAAGATATAAACAGGGAGATACAGTGTACTAATCAACCGTAACCTGAAAAGGCATTAGAGAGACAGAGGGAGGATTGAAAATAAAAAGAAGAAGAATTAAGATAAGAATAAAAATAAAAAATAGGTAAATGAAAGGAAAAAAATGTATATAAAATAAAACAAAATGAAAAATGAGGTGTAGAAAAAGAATAAATAAATAAAATAAAAATAAAGGAAATCCTCCAAGTTCAAATTCAATGAAGTTTAATTCTTAATAATTTTGTTGTTCATCCCTCAGCCTGCAATCCTGGAGATGGTGCCTCAGATGTTGTTCTGTAGTTGTCTCTCAAAGGAGAAAAATAAAATAGAACAAAACTGCACAAAACAAAACAAAAAACCCCCCACAAAGTGTTCCATGTTCAAATGCAATATAGTTTCAGTAAGTTTTTCAGCATGCAGGTGTAGTTCAGTTGTTTTCTCATCAGAGGTAGGGAGAGAGAAAAAAAAGAGTCTGGAGACAGTTCTGTGAATGGCTATCTGTGGCTGTGGCTCACCTGCCTGCTGCTGTCAACTTGCTGTTGCTGGAGGCTTTATTTATGTAGATCTCAGGAGTGAGCTTAGCATTCACCTGGCCCCGCAGGCTTTGTATATTCAGAGTTCTCCTGTGCACGATGCCACTGCTACAAGCTTTGCCCTTTCCACACATACTGGGGGAGGTGACCCTGCACCCGCTTTCTCAGGCCTGCACGTTTATTTACAATTTACATCAGAAGTGGGTCTTCCCCCATCTCCTGTGGAGTTTTCCTCCCACTGCTGCTTTGACAAGCTTTCTTGCTCCTGATTGCTGGTCGTGTGCTGCTGTTCCTGCCAGCCATTGTATTTGTTTACAGCTCATGTGGGAAGTGGGTCTTTCCCCCTCTTCTGTGGCGTTTTCCTCCGTCCGCCACTCTCACAAGCTTTCCCACTCCTGGTTGCTGGGCGTGCACCCCTACCGCTCCCACCCTCTCCAGCCAGGCCTGGCTGGTTTATTTACAGTTCTGTGAGGATTCCCCTACCCACCTCTTCCGTGCTCAGGGCTCCCCGCCCTCTTTGCTACGTGTCTTTATTGTTCTTATTGCTTATTACTCAGTTTCTCTTTTTTTCCCCTGGGTGGGGGTTGGTCTGTCCAGGGGGCTATGCTGATCTGGCCCAGGGTTGTCTGTGGGAGTATCACGTACCACTTAGCTCACCTTGTGGTCCACGTCTTTCCAAGCCATCTGGGCCTGGGCCTCTGGCAGTGGCCCGGGGCTCTACTGGTTTTTCCTTTCAACGTGAAGTGTCGATGCTCTGCACAGCCTGAAGGTGTGGATGGTTCAAAGTTTTGCCTCTTCTCCCTGGCCTTGTCTGCAAGGTGTGTCTCCAGCATCTCTCCAAGATTTCACTTTAGGAGGCACGCTTTCTGCTTCCTCCCTCTAGCTGCCATCTTGGAATCTCCAGGTTTCTTTATCTCCATTAGTCTGTATGTCTGTTTTTATGCCAGTACTGACTGTTTTGGTTATGATAGCTTTTATCATATTTTGAAGTCAGATAGTGTGGTGCCTTCAGCTTTATTCTGTTTTGCTCAAGCTTGCTTTGGTTATGGGTGTTTTGTGGTTCCATTTGGATTTTAGCATTGATTTTGCTCTTTCTGTGAAGAATATCATTTGTACTTTGGTCAGGATTATATTGACTCTCTAGATTGCTTTGGGTAGTATGGACAATTTAATACTATCAATTCTTCTAATCAATGAGCATAGAATATCTTCCCATATATTTCTGTCTTTTTCAATTTATTTCATCAGTGTTTTATAGTTGTCAGTGTACACATCTTTCACTTCCTTTGTGAGATTTATTCCTAAGTATTTTATTTTTTTGTTAGTATAAATTGTATTATCTGCATTTCATATAGTTTATCGTAGTGAATATAAATGCTACTGATTTTGTATCCTGTAAATTTTCTAATTTGTAAGTTGTAACGGTTTTTAGTTTTTACGCTTTTCTTATTTTTTTGGTGGTACTGGGGCTTGAACTCAGGGCCTCATGCTTGCTTGGCAGGCGCTTTACCACTTGAACCCTGTCCCTAGTCCTAGGGTTTTACACCATCTGCCATCAGGGCAATTTAACTTTTTCTCTTTCCAGTTGTTTGCCTTTTTTTTTTTTTTCCCAGTAAGAGAAAGGCTGTTGTTGTGTATCCTAGGCTGGCCTTGAATTCAAGATCTTCCTGTCTCAAATTCCTGAGTAAGTGAGACTGTAAGCACCCACCATAGAACCTGACTTTTGTATGCCTTTTACTTCTTTCTCTTGCTTAATTGTTTTAGCTAGGACCTCCCATACGCTATTGAGTAAAAGTGGGAAGTATGCATCTTTGCTTCATTCCAGATCTTAGAGGAAAAGTTATCAACTTTTTTCCCTAGAGTATAATATTAGCTGTGGATTTGACCTAAGTGGCCTTTGTTGTGTTGTATATTTCTTTTGTACCAAATGTATGGCGAGTTGTTTTTTTTTTTAAACATGAAAAGGGGTGCTGAATTTTGTTACACATTTTTTTTTTTGCTTCTGTTGAAACAGTCATTGTTTTGGTCCTAAATTCTGTTAAAGTGATGTATCAGATTTATTGATTTGCATATGTTGAACTATCCTTTCATCCTGTGATGATTCCCACTTGATCATGGTGAATTATATTTTTAACGTGATTGATTTGGGTTTGCTAGTATTTTGTTGAGATTTTTGCACTGACTTGTAGCTTTTCTTACAATATGCTTGTCTGGTTTTGGAAATAGGGTAATGCTGGCCTCATGGAATGAGTGTGGAAATGTTCTTCCCACTTTAATTTTCGGGAATATCTTGAATAGAACTGATATTGTTTCTTCTTTAAATGTTTGGCAGAGTTCAGTAGCAAAGTCACTAGGTCTCAGGACTTTCTGGGAGACTTTTTATTACTAATTCAATCTCATTAGTCCGTATTGATCTGTTCAGATTTTCTCTTTTTTCAGAAGTCAGTCTTGACAGGTTGTATGTGTTTAGGAATGTATCCATTTCTTCTCGATTATCTAATTTCTTGGTATATAATTGTTCCTAATAATTTCATGTGATTCTTTGTATTTGTCTTTTATCAGTTGTCATGCTCCTTTTTCAACTCTGATTTCATTTTTATCAGTCTTCTTTCTTTTTCTTAGTTGGCTAGTTTGATCTCTTTATTTTGTTGATTTCTTTTATTGATTTTAAGTCTATCTTATATATTTTTGTTCTGATTTCTATTCCTATTCCTTCTTTCTGTTAGTTTCAAGTTTTTAAAGTTCCTTCAGCTTCAGTGTTTGGTTATTTGAGATATTTCTTTTTTGATACAATATTGTTGCTATAATAGTCCCTCTTAAACTGCTTTTGCTTTATACCATAGGTTTTAATATGTTGTTTTTCCATAGAAAAATTTAAATTGCCCTTTTTATTTCTTCATTGACCCAGCTGTTGTTCACAGGTATATTGTTTAATTTCTGTGTATTTGTAAAATTTCTGAGGTACTTTGTGTTACTCATTTCTAGTTTTACACCATTGTGATCCGAAATGATACTAGGTATGATTCCAATCTTCTTAAATCTGTTAGGCATTGTTTTGTTGATATCTATCACCCCATTAGGAAAACTTTCAGTCATAAAATGTATTCTTTGGCCAGGCCATTCTGTTGTGTAGGATCTGCACTTGGGCAGGGCTGTAGGTTAGGCTCCAAGATTAGATGCAGTAGTTGTTCTAGACATCTGGAATTTAACAGTATCCTCCTTAGATGTGCATGATAAGAGATGCTTCCCTGCGTGGGTAGAGCCATGGAATGAGATTTTGGCCGATTGAATGGCTGTTGATCTCCTAGTTCAAGAAGTTCTAGCCCCTACATTTCTCTAAAAAAGCAGAGATGGGCATCTCTCTGCCTGGGTGAATTTGTTGGTTGGGCTTCCTAGGTCAAACTGGTATAGTCCTTCATTTCTCTGAGATCCATGGAAGTATGAGTCTTCCTATCTGTGAGGGATTCTTGGGCAGGCAGTTTGGCTGTTTGGATCCACTATGACTTTCAGTGATCAAACTATTCTAGCCCCTTTGCTTCTTGAAATCCACAAAGATCAAGTTTCTCTGCTTGAGTGGGATAGTTAGGGGGTTCTGATGCTGGCTGTGGAGACCAGTGATCAGGTCATGTCATTTCTCCCTAGTGAATTGAAATTAGAGGTGGCCTTCTGAAAAACACCTCAGAATGCAAGGGAAGCTGATGACTACCTCTGATTTCTTTTCCTCTGTAGAAACTGTGAGCCTAGGGAAATCCTGGCCATCTGGTGATATGCCCACACTGGGGAAGGAGGGAAGAGTGTCACAGTTGGAGTAAGACCGTTCCTCTTACCCTTCTCATTTGGATTTTGTTTAGTTCTTCATACTATATAGGAATCTTAGGCTTGTTTCCAGTTCTTAGGGGTTTTCAAAAGGATGTTCTAGTCCATACATAATTGCTAGTCAAGCACTGTAGGAAGGAATGGGGTCCAAGACTTTGCAGTGTTGTTGACATTACCACTAGTTTTAAAATAATGTTCTCTTTGGATAAATCTATTTTTCATAAATATCTTCAGTTTCATATGGTATAATTTCACAAAATTCTTTGTAAATATTTATCTGGGCACAAAACATGAGTTACATTAATGAAGTTTTTACTGTTTTTTTGAAGTGGGTAGAATAATATAAGTGAAATACTGTTTTTTTTATTAGATGCATAATATTATTTCTTCTTTTATGATTTGTATGTACCCACTATAATGCATAATATAATGTGTATTGCTTTTGTTTTTGTGTTTCTTCTGCAGAGAGTGATAATGAGCTCTCAAGTGGAACAGGTGATGTGTCTAAGGATTGTCCTGAGAAGATCCTATATTCTTGGGGAGAATTGCTAGGACGATGGTAACATTATATTTTTCTTAATAAGAAAATCATATTTACACAATTGATTTATTGTTATAGTAATTAAATTTTGTGTTAAAAAGAAATTAGAAGGTATTAAAATCAATATTAATACACTTTAAAATCATAAAAATTAAAATGTAATTGATAGATTCTCTTCATGTTTAACTAGGTCATTCCACAAAATAAAAAGAGATTGTTCTACTATAGGTAACATTGGTCAGAGTTGTTAGTTTTGTGCTGTATTACAAACACATTTAAATATAAATTTTTAAAGGGCTACCTTTCTTTCTTTACCGAGTCTATTACTACTAAAAGGGACTATAGAACTTAGAATTGCTCATTTTACCACTAACTGTAAACTCAATCTGTTTTATTCTTTCTGCCTAAAATTATTACTTTATATGTTTGTGTATTTTATTAAAAAACAAAATAAAGTGATACCCTGGTTATACTTATTCTAATAAGCCCTCTGTTTATAAGTAATTTTTTTAAAAACATAATCCTACTGGCATATATTGGTGAGGCAAAATAAATCTTGCTAACTAAAATGTCACCTCCCTATCAGTATAGGCACAAAAGATTCTATTTATTGTTGGGTGTGCATACCAGTTAAGATAATCAGAAGTGACTATAAAGTCTGGGCAGAATCTCACATGTTTTATACAATAAAGTGAGAGAAAAAGTAATTAAATTTTCTTGAGAGATAAGTGATGTTCCCTATTTTTATTTTACTTTTTTTTTGTAAGTGGACACAAACATTTTCTTTAAGCAAGTTTTTTAAATTTTGAATTATTTATTCTAAAACTCTGAATCTTGGCAAAATTTAATGAATAAAACATGTACTTTTTCCTTTTCTATGCCCTTATTTCAATATAGATTTAAAATTCATGTCATATTAGAAACAAGTCTCAAACCTATGATCTAAGCTTTTACTTCTTGATACCGAAAATAATCCAGCAAATAGAATAAAGTAAACCCAAAATAAACAGAATCAAGAAAATAATTATGTCAAAACAGAAAGAAATGAAATTGAAAACAGAAAAACAATAGGGAAAAAAAATCCAAACTGAGCTGATTGTGTGTGTGTGTGTGTGTGACAGTACTGGGGATTGACTTCAGGGCTTCACACTTGCTAGGCAGGTACTCTGCCACTTGAATCATGCCTCCAGTCCTTTTTGCTTTATTTTTTTAGACAAGGTCTCATGTTTTGGCCCAGAGCTGGCCTGGACATGTTCTCCTATCTATGCCTCCTACACAGCTAGGACTACAGGTACATGCCACTATGCCTAGCTTATTGGTTGAGATGAGATCTCACTAACTTTTTCCCCAGGCTGACCTCAAACTGCCATCCTCTTGATCTCCACCTCCTATGTCACTACCACGTCTGGTAGTTAAAAAGTTTTTAAGAGAAAATTTGAGGCCAAACTGACCATTCTACTAAATATTTTTAAAAGGTATAATGTAATTTTTACATAAATTTTTCTAGAATATAAAAGAGAGGGCAGTACTTTTCAACTAATTTCATGACATTTGTATACCTTGATATCAAAACCAAATAAATATTAAGAAAAGGAAAACCACAGATTAATGTCCCTCATGAATATAGACTCAAAGATACCTAACAAAATACTATCCTATCAAATTCAGTGATATGTATGAAAAAGGAGACTATACCGTGAGTATGTGGGGTTTATTCTGAGAAAGTAAGGCAGGCTTATCATTTGACAATAAATCTTTGTAAGTAACCACATCAACATGCCAAAGAAGGAAAACGATATAATTATCTCAATAGATGCAGAAAAAACATTTGACAAAACTCAGCATTCATTTAGGGTAAAAACTTTCAGCAAGCTAGGGATCATGAGAACTTTCTCAACCTGATAAAAGGTAACCATTAAAAAAAAAAACTACTGCTAACCTCTTAAGAGTGAATATAAGACAGGATGTTTACTCACCACTCAACATAGTACTAGAGATTCTAGCTACCACAGTAAGGCAAGAACAAGAAATAAAATGCAATAAAATTTGAAGGAAAATAGAGAATGATCCCTATTTTTAGGGACATGATTTTCTTTGCACCACATCACACGTAATCTACAAAAAAAAAAAAAAAGAAAAAAAATCCCTCCTAGAACTAATAAGTTAGTTTTTGAAGGTTGTGAGATACGTCAGTATGTGAGCATCAATCTCATTTCTATATACTAGCAATGAAAAATCAAAAGAGGAAATTGAAAAACATACAAAGGCACCAGAAAAAAACATGAAATACTTACCTAGCAACCTCGCAAATTGTGCAATGTCTGTATTTTGGGACACTGGAAAACAGTAATGAAAGAAAACAAAGAAGACCTAAATAAATGGAGAAATATACTGTGTTCCTGGAATGAAAGATTCAATATTGTTAAGATTTCATTTGTTCGTAAACTAATCTATATTCTTATTGAAAATTTCATTAACATCCCAGCTGAATTTTTTGTAGCTTCCAGACCAATTCTAAAATTTGTATAGAAAAGCAAGTTAGTTAAAATAGTGAAAACAAAGAGCAAGGTTAGAAGACATTCTTCCTGATTTTAGGCTTTACTGAAAAGCTATAGTAATCAAGAAGAAACTGATACAAGGATAGACACATAGCCCAGTGGCACAGAATAGAGAATTCAGGAAGAGAGCCACACAAGCCTGGCTTGGGGGTTCACACCTGTTATAATCCTAGCTACTCAGGAGGCTGAGATGGGGAAGACTGCAGTTTGAGGCCAGTCCATACAAAAAGTTTGCAAGACCCCCATCTCAATCATTGCTAGGTGTGGCAACATGAGCCTGCCATCTCAGCTATGTGGGAGGCTAAGATAAAGTGGATGACAGTTCTAAGCCAGCTTAGACAAAAAAAGTTCATCAGACCCCATCTTAATAGAAAAAACTGGGTTGTTGACAGATGCCTATCATTCCAGCTTTGGTATAAGTGTAAAGTAGGAGGATTGAGGTCCTGGTTGGCCCAGACAGAAAGCAAGACCCTATTTCTAAAATGGCCAAAGCAAAAAGGACTGGAATCATGGCTTAAGTGGCAGAGTGCCTGCCTAGCAAGTATGAAGCCCTGAGTTCAAAGTTCAATATAGCAAAAGAAGAAGAAAAAAGGAGAAGAAGGAGGAGAGAGGAGAGGAGGAGGAGGAGATAAGGAAAGGGTGTATGATGGCTAATGTAGTGGAAATACTATGTACTCATGTATGAAAATGGAAAAATGAGACCTGATAAAAATATTCCAGGAATTGGGGGTGGGGAATAAAGGAGAATGAGATGGAAGGAGTGAAATCAACTGTGATATATTGTAAGAACTTTTGAAAATGTCACAATGTACTCCCAGTACAACAATAATATGATAATTAATTAAAATCAATAAATAAATATTCAACTTAGCCAGGCACAGTGGTACATGTCTATAATTCCAGAACTCAGGAGGCAGGTAGGAAGACTGAAACTTCCAGGCCAGCTTGCACGCTATTAGTGAATTCAAACCAGCCTGGGCTAAACAGCATGACCCTGTCTCTCAAAAAGGACAGGAAAGATGCTCAACATAATTAACCATCAGGGAATTGAAAATTAGAACTATGATGAGATACTGCTTCATGCCCACTAGGATATAATTGAAAAAACAGATGATGATATGTGTTCGCAAGTACCTGGAGAAATTGGAAACATAACGTAGCAAGTGAATCTGTCATGTTGCTAGGAATACAAAAAAAAAAAAATCCTCCTAGTGTTGTGATTATAGGTATGTACCACCAAACTCAGCATCTTATTAAGTTGGACACACATTTCTTATACCACCCAGCATTCCAATTCTACCACTGCATTTTTACTGAAGTGAAACTGAAACCTGTACGTGAATGTTTTTGACAGCTTTGTTCATAATCACCCCAAATATTGAAATAACCCAAATGTTCTTTGATAGGTAGATGGACCAACCAACTATGATATATTCATTCAATGGAATATTACTCAGAAATTAAAAGAATGAAGTACTGATATTCAGAACAATATAATGGGACCTTATATTATGTGAAATATCCAAGCGACTCAATACTGCATCATTCCATTTATATGAAATTCTAAAAATGCTAAAACTATCATGATAGAACGATATTAATGGTCCATAAGGACTGCAGGTGTTGACCACAAGAGGGTGTAGAGGATGTTTGGGGGAAGTAATAGAATTGTTCTATAACTTGGTTATAATGATGGTCACACAAACTGCATTTGTTAAAATAGAAATGTGTACTAAAAAGGTAGGGAAGGAGTAAAAAGAGGGTGAGATGGAAGAAAATTCTGTGTCTTTTTCTACATATAAGTAAGGTTAAAAAAATAATACTGTAAATCCTTGTGTGCCCACTACCCAGCTTCATTAGTTATCAAAATAATGACAATATCCAAAAATATGTTTAAGCTGAGATTGCTATTGATACTTTCCATTTATATATATTTACTTTTATTTTTGTAGTACTGGGAATTGAATCTAGGACATAACACATTCTAGGGAAATGCTCTACCTCTGAGCTATACCCCCATTCCTTTTAAAAAAACTTAATTTTGAGACAAAGTCTCTTTGTGTTGTCCAGGCTGGCCTCAAACTTGTAATCCCCCTGTCTCAGCCTCCCAAGTGCTGGGATTACAGGCATGATCCACTGTGCCTGACAATGCTTCTCTAGTTTTAAGTAAGTTGATTATGGAGTAGGAAGAAAACTGATTAACAGAGAAACTATCAAGGGTCTCCCAAAAGCAGCTTCCAATTTTCAGACTTCCGGAGCAAACTGCAAAGAGCTCAGCAGCAAGAAGACCCATTTCCTCAAGGAGTAACAAAGGTTTCAGAAGCAGCTTTGCTGTGTAGCCCCTAATCTAGCATCAGATAGGCATTCCAGGAAACCAGGCCACCCAAGTATGGATCCTGAGGGTCCCATGGAAGCAGATGGCCGTGAAGAGCCAGTCCAACCTGCAAAACCCATTGCTTAAGTAAAACCCATGGGATGTGAGGCCCCAGTTCACACAGAGCCAGCACTACCTGGAGAAAGAGGCCACCTTGGGGGAAGAAACTGCGAGCACAAAGAGGCCACATGTCAAGGGACAGAAAGAGACAGCCGCAGGGCAACAGGCCTCCAGAAGTGGCCAGGATATGCTCAAGGACCAGATTTGCACACATAGTTGAATGACCATGCAGAGCCCTAGTACCATGTGGAAACTGAAGCCAGTCAGAGTCCATCCTCCCCCTTCATTGCAGGAGATGCAATGGGTTGTGGGGCCATGGCTTGAGACTCAAGGAACTGCCCCCGGCCTCTGGGTACTGAGCTGTCATGGAGTAGCAGGCTTCAGCCATCTATCCCTGTATCGCTTTCATCCCTCTCACTGGCTTGGCTTGGCATTTCATGTAGACCTCCTTCAGCACCCTTGTGTTTGGAGTCCCAGTGTTCACCCCATTGCTACCGACCTCCATCATCTGCTTCTACTAAGTACTGTTCCCCCATCCCAAAAACCAAACCCAATTTCTGCCTCAACTCTGCCTATATCAACCAGCCCCTCTGTTTAAAAACAGTTTAAAAACACTTAACTGAAGAAAGTCATTCAAACACTTCTCATGCCAGCTGATCCTCCCTTTTCCACAGCTAAGAATGGCATAAATGCTATGTCACTATATACAAAAACAAGACAAAGCTAAATGGATGCCCACTGCAGTATCAACAGGTCCAGTTTTACAGTGCACGCTCTGAGTTACGGTCCCTCCAAAAGTCATCTTTCCTCACAGCCTCCAGTCCAAGCAAAGAGCATTAAGAATCTGTCTCGGTTGTGTTGTTCTTTTTACAAACTATAGATACATACAGTTGGTAACTCAGGATTTCTAGCCAATAATAATAGAGTTAACACTAGCTTACAAATTGAAAAAAAAATGCTAGAAACATCTTCAAATGCCTTGACACACCAAGAGCAAAGTGAACACAGTGAAGAACACCTGAGAGTCCCTTTTTATTTTAAAAATGTTTGGAAATGTGTACAACTTTGATACAGTTTCTGGGTGCTCTGGACTTCCACGGTCACTTCCTGTAAACCACTGACAATCTCTAAGAACACATTGAGAGACTATAACATGATTGTGATCAAATTTTGTAATTAAACCTAATGAGGTCACTTGACACAACTCCAATAAAAGATGTATTAACCATGGTGCTCCCCTAATCTAAGGTGCTTACAAGGAAACAGATACACATTTTTTTATTCATCTTTCCTCTCCTTCCTCTTCTTCATCTTCCTTTTCTACCTTTTTCTGGGCAACTTTAGTGGGACCCTTTGTGCCATCAAACTTTCCTTTTGACTTATAGTCAGCAACATCGTTCTCATATTTCTCCTTCAGCTTTGCTGCCTTAGTGATGTAAGGCTGCTTCTCGCTGTTACTTAAGTTATTCCGCATCTCACCAAACTTTTTTTTTTACCATGTCTCCAATAGAGATGCCAGGGTTTGTGGATTTGATCTTGGATCACAATTCTGAACAGAACAGGAAGAATCCAGACGGCAGTCTTTTGGGGTCCTTTATCTTCCTGCCCTCTTAGTTGGCCCGTAATCCTTTTCTTTACTGTAGTGGACTTTTCTGCCTTTGCCATTTCATCAAATTTAGATTTCTCTTTCCCAAACATTGTCTTCTACCTCTCAGAGCACTTCTTGGAAAATTCTTTAAAATTGACAGGGACCTTGGGATTTTTCTTCTTATGTTATCTGCATGTCTGCACCAAGAAGGCATAAGCACACATCTTGCCCTTTGATTTCTTGGGATCACCTTTAGCCATCATGATTGTATTGTTCGCTAGTCTGAATGCCACTCCTTTTATAACACATTATCCATCAATTCATGGATGAATCCTTCCATGAGGGCACACCCTTCGTGACCAGTCACAGTCACCTCCCAGACGTCTCTCTGTTCCATGAACTTTTGGAATTATAGTCAAGCCACAGTACCATTCCAATTGACTTGAACAGAGTTATTACCTACAAGGAAAACAGAAATCATGTTTTCCAGCTAGGGGAAATGAGAAACAACAGCAACAGCAGCAACAAAAACACCTGGAAGAGGTAGTGGAATGCAAGAAGAACCAGTAAATAAGGAAACTAGTAAAATTCATTAAGTCTAAATAAATATGATATGGAAGAAAAACCATTGACCTGGAACTAAATGCCAGAAGACTTTGACATAGACATTTGGGGTTGAGGAGTTCAGAAAGGTAAAATTTCAGTCTCAGAAATAATACGTAGGCATTTACATTAAGATAGTTTTGTGATTTAGTAAGGTAAAGCACCTATTATGTAGAACTCTGTTCTTGATGCTTTGGGGAAACTTCCCTCCTCTCCCTTCCCCTCCCCTCAACTAGATCAGTCTGTTAAACTAAAGGCAAACTTTGATAGTTAAAAGCAGAAGTCACATAATTAAATTACAGTGTTAGAAAGATGTAAAGGAAAAATATTTAATAATCATTTGAAATTATCAGAAATTACAAAGATAATAGAGACTGGAGCTTTGCTAAATAGCCCAGACCATTCTGAACTTGCTTTGTAGCTCAGGGTGGGCTAGAATTTGTGATCCTCTTGCCTTGGCCTCCTGAGTGCTAGGATTATGGGTGTGTGCCACCACATCTAGCTTGACATATTTTGTGGAGCACATTTATCATGTTCAGCTAATTTTTCTAAATTAACTAAAATCTTATTTTAGTTTATGAGAGGAATTTAAAGAATTGAAGCTTTTTAATTTTGTGATTATAAAAGAATTTAAGATATTTCTGGCAGCATATGAAAATAAAAGGGGTACTTTCTCTCATAATTATATTACCAAATATTTTAGTGTGTATATTCTTCTATATTATTTTTGATAATATTTAAATGCAGGTTTCAAAATAGTGTGTATTTAAAATAATACCTATTTACTCTTTTGAGACTTGGTTTTGTCACTTAGCACAATTATATTCTTTAATAGTGTTAAATCATGTGAGCTCTGTCTCTTTTTACTTCATTTTAATTCAAGCCCATTCAGTATTAATCAGCTTAGGATCTCTAATCCCAAAATACAAATCTTAAGGTTTATTCAAAATACTAGTGTGATTAGTTTACTTGAATTTGTTTAAGTTATGGAAATTATTATAGTTTTTCTCCCAAAATATCCATATTATGGTAGTATGGGGGAAAAAAAGCATTGAACATATTTTTTGGTGGAAGAGCATGTCAAAACTTGGGTCTGGGATGGAGATGGATGAATGTGCCTGATTTAGAGCAGTAGGTGGGAGGTCAATTTTGGAAAACAGACAGGATTCCATGACTTTTTCAGGCTTAAACTTGAAATCAGAGCCTGAGGTATTAGGGCACACCAGGATATATCAGCAAGGTTTGGAGTTCAGAAAGATGCATTAGGGTTAGCTGTAAGAGATCAAAGGTGAGCAGCAAATACCAGTAATGTCTTAGCAAAAAGGCACAGAAAATAGCTCCGGGTTCAAGCTAGGCACCAAGAAAAAGGTGAGGAATGGAATTACATTTGTATAATAACTTAATTTCTTGACCAGATGACTGGATATCAAAGTACCATACCTATTATGTGATCATCAACTTTAGGATAAGGTGCCTCTGTTCTGATTCTGAGCACCCTTTGGAAGGCTGATAAGTATATGTTGCTTCCTCACAAGATGGAGTTGTATAGGTTCTGGTGTTATAAGAAAAGGTAATGTACTTCTCTTTGGGAGTGCTTGCAGTTAAAACATATTAGCATGGAATCCAAAAGTGCAAACAATAATGAATTCTTATTATCAAAAACTTGATCTTAGATAACTTAAACTGGAATATCCTTCATATTTTAAGTTCATACCAAAACAAAGAATTTCAGGTTAGGTGATTAAGACATGGGACTTGTCAGGTAACTTTGGGGTCATGATGTAGATGTGACAGGGTAACTGAAGTACATATACTTCATGCCTCCTATACTGTGGGCCTGCTTTTTTCACTTGGCCCAACTCAACCTGATCTCAGAGTAGCAGGTACATTAAAGCTATCAGCATCCTTTACTGAACCCATTCCCAACAACACACCTCTGCTAGCCAAGTTGCCTTGGTTCTTCTGTGCCTTCACATATTATCTAGAATTTTGCAGCACATTTGTTATTATGAATAAATTCACAGGATAATTTTAAAAAGTAAATTAGAGGACAAAAAAAAATCTTTCCCTGAAAGTGTAATAACATGGCTCACCAATAAATTAGGTGGAATCAAGAAAAAAATCAAAGACATCATTGAGCTTCAGCACTAATATTGTTTCACGCCCTGCCCATCATTTTTCCTCTTTACTCAAGTTTATATTCTTATATAAATGAGTGAATATAATTTAACTAACAGCAACAGTTCAGTAGTGGTAAAGGAATTATGAATGGTTTGTTTTCTTTCTTCTTCAGGCATAATAACCTTGGTGCCCGACCGAAAGGGCTATCCACTTTGGTGAAGAGTGGTGTTCCAGAAGCATTGAGGGCAGAAGTATGGCAGTTATTAGCAGGCTGCCATGACAACCAGGCAATGCTGGATCGATACAGAATTCTTATCACAAAGGTAGGAAACTATTTTCATGGGGTAATATATTAAGTAAATCCTGTTTTTCACAGCTTCAGTGTTATAAATGTTTTGAGTATTCTTAAAAAGTACTGGATGCATGGCTCAAGTGGTAGAGCACCTGTTAGCAAGTGCAAGGCCTTGAGTTCAAACCTCAATACCAACAACAACAACAAAAGAGATATATATATATGTATGTATGTATATATGTATGCATGTATATATAAAAACCTGTACATATCTAAATTGGTGTTGTGCAGTCAATACTTTCGCCTTTTGTTCTGAATACTTGTTGGATAGTGGTAAGCAATACCTATAAGCAACATTGAACACTTTATGTCATGGTTTCATTTTCATTCCTGTGACTTTATAATTTCTCTTCACCAAATCAGAATAAACAGTTGGCCATCTGTGTCCTGGATTTTGCACTAGTGGATTCAACCAACGTGGATCAAATGTGTTAGAAATGTGTTTGTACTGAATATGTACAGGCTTATTTCTTGGTGTTATTTCCTAAATAATAGAGTATAACAACTATTTGCATAGTATTTAAATTTCATTAGGGATTATAAGAAATCTAGAGATAGTCGAAAGTATATGGGTGAATGTGCAAATACTACACCATTTTGTATAAGGGACTTCAGCATCTGTGGATTTGGGTACCTGCCTAGGGTTCTAGAACCAATTCTCTACAAATACAAAGGGACAACTATATTTGTATTATAAGTGTTTTTAAAAGTCTGTAGTAACTTTTATTGTAAAAGATTTATAGTTAAAATTTTACAGTTACTCTAGAATAAGTTTTAAATGAAATGAAAAGGCCTTCCATGCTTATGTCTTTGTGTATTTAAATGATGTGGATAGTTATCCAGAGTTTTATTCCTCAGGTGACCTTGGTTCCAATGTAAATTTCTTTGCTTATATCCAAATAACTGGTTTTAGACCCTAGGTTAAGGTAAGTGTTAGCCTTCTTTTAGATCTTTGCTCCTAGTTTCTTAATCTATTCTAAATCCTGGACTTTAAATAATAATAATAATTTGCTTTTCTGAAAACTTGTGGATAAGTTAGATTTTTCATAATGAAGACTTTGTTCCTAAGAATATATCAACTTAAAAACTGTTGTATCCTGTGTAATTGTGTCCCCCTTTGCTTCCCTTATTTCCACAAATACCTTCCAAGCACTTAATTTATTCCATCACTGGAAATGCAGGTTTTTTAAAAAACAACTTTTACTACTTTTTAAAAGATTAGTGGTCTCCCCAGTAGGATATGCCAGGTAATCCATTGGTGTGTATGGAGAAAATCTTTAAAGTTCCATTTTTATTTGTTAAATAGCAAACACAAAGCATATTGTTACAATAATGTTTTTTGTGTTGTGTACTGAGGACAGACTAGATTGTTGGATGTGATGGCCATATGTCCCGTTGTGGTTCAGGAGTGACCTGAACTTGAGGAATTTGCAAGCCTAGAGTGGAATAACTGTGGTTCCTATATTCATACATTCACTTTCAAAATATTACTATTTTCTCATGCTGGATTAGGTGGATTTAAAGGTTAATATAGTTTTAACTCAACCGTTATGTAAAATGGGTGAATGGTTTTAAGTGAGTGTTGTTGAAAGATGTATGTATTACTTTAAGAAAGAATATTATGGAAATTAATGACGAAGAAAATACTTTCGGAAATGAGCTCATATAGAGGATACTTTGAAACATTTAGTAATTTAAACATCACTACGTGGCTTAGTCACTGAAAATTTCATGCATGCATTACCAATAAAGACTTTCAAATCTTCATACTTAATACCCTTAATTCAGAAATTTCAAGTGTGTTTAAACTTGTATAGAGAGTTACAGAGAATTGGGGACGGGTTGTTAAAAGTATAAGACATAACAACTGATTTATTCATAAGAATACTTAGTGTGTGGGCAGTAGCTTTGAGGTAGAGCACATGTATAAAACCAGGGGTTTAATCTTCAGCACCAAAAAGAACCAAAAAACATAAACCAACCAACCAAAAAACAACCTCAAAACAAAAACAAACATATCTAGTCAGAGTAGGTAATTCCTTAGCCTGATTTCAGCAACCCGCAACATCCTTTTTTTTTGGCAGTATTGGGGTTAAACTCAGGGCCTATGCTTACTAGGTAAGTGCTGTGCCAGCCGAGTCACACCCCCAGGTGAACAACATACTTGATGTTTGAAGCTGAGAAAATTGATTCCACTTCTACTTGGGTCTATAGGTCTTTTTTTAGATGTAAGTTTTTTTTAGATATGATAAAATTAAAACCGAATTAAAAACCTAATTTAAAAACAAGTTTTCAAACTGCTGTTTTATAAACTGCTAAGCAAATGAATGAAAAAATAATAAGCAATACTGTATGATCTATTTACATAGACTAATATAGAAAAATAGTATGGGATATTCTAAAGAAACAGAAGGTAGGCTAATAGTTGCCAGGAAATAGGGGAGGAGGGAAACTAATTGTCACTGCTACCAGGTATGGTGTTTATGCTGGGGGTAATGGAAATGTTCTGGAATTAGATAGTAGTGACATTTGCTTAACATTGTGAATATGACAAAAACCACTGAGTTGCATACTTTTAAATGATGAATTTTGTTATATGACCTTTATCTCAATAGAAAAATGACAATAAATAATAAAAAATACCCATATTCAATTCAATAATATTTTTATTGTATTTTTTGAAGCACAGTTTTTGCATCCTATCTAAATTTCAATGCTTTATAAAGTGTATCTAACATGTGAGTGATATAGCACTTATGCATAATAAAAATATATACATATATTGGAAGTTTATACTCAGAAAAGTTATGATTGTTGGGTTATCTGATCAAACATGTCCAGATACTTTAATTGGATATTACATCACATTTTCTTTTTTTTTTTTTTCTTTTTTCTTTTATTATTCATATGTGCATACAAGGCTTGGTTCATTTCTCCCCCCTGCCCCAACCCCCTCCCTTACCACCCACTCCCCCCTCCCTCCCCCCAATACCCAGCAGAAACTATTTTGCCCTTATTTCTAATTTTGTTGTAGAGAGAGTATAAGCCATAATAGGAAGGAACAAGGGTTTTTGCTGGTTGAGATAAGGATAGCTATACAGGGCATTGACTCACATTGATTTCCTGTGTGTGGGTGTTACCTTCTAGGTTAATTCTTTTTGATCTAACCTTTTCTCTAGTACCTGTTCCCCTTTTCCTCTTGGCCTCAGTTGCTTTAAGGTATCTGCTTTAGTTTCTCTGCGTTAAGGGCAACAAATGCTAGCTAGTTTTTTAGGTGTCTTACCTATCCTCACCCCTCCCTTGTGTGCTCTCGCTTTTATCATGTGCTCATAGTCCAATCCCCTTGTTGTGTTTGCCCTTGATCTAATGTCCACATATGAGGGAGAACATACGATTTTTGGTCTTTTGAGCCAGGCTAACCTCACTCAGAATGATATTCTCCAATTCCATCCATTTACCAGCGAATGATAACACTTCGTTCTTCTTTATGGCTGCATAAAATTCCATTGTGTATAGATACCACATTTTCTTAATCCATTCATCAGTGGTGGGGCATCTTGGCTGTTTCCATAGCTTGGCTATTGTGAATAGTGCTGCAATAAACATGGATGTGCAGGTGCCTCTGGAGTAACAGTCTTTTGGGTATATCCCCAAGAGTGGTATTGCTGGATCAAATGGTAGATCGATGTCCAGCTTTTTAAGAAGCCTCCAAATGTTTTTCCAGAGTGGTTGTACTAGTCTACATTCCCACCAACAGTGTAAGAGGGTTCCTTTTTCCCCGCATCCTCGCCAACACCTGTTGTTGGTGGTGTTGCTGATGATGGCTATTCTAACAGGGGTGAGGTGGAATCTTAGTGTGGTTTTAATTTGCATTTCCTTTATTGCTAGAGATGGTGAGCATTTTTTCATGTGTTTTCTGGCCATTTGAATTTCTTCTTTTGAGAAAGTTCTGTTTAGTTCACGTGCCCATTTCTTTATTGGTTCATTAGTTTTGGGAGAATTTAGTTTTATAAGTTCCCTATATATTCTGGTTATCAGTCCTTTGATGTATACTTTCAAATTTATTTGAATATAGTTTCTCAAAGTAGTCTCTGATGATTTCCTGGACTTCCATGGTGTTTGTTGTTATCTCCCCCTTTTGCATTCCTGATTCTACTCATTTGGGTTTTTTCTCTCCTCATTTTAGTCAGGTTTGCCAGGGGTCTATCGATCTTGTTTATTTTTTCAAAGAACCAACTTTTTGTTTCATTAATTCTTTGTATGGTTTTTTTGGTTTCTATTTCGTTGATTTCAGCTCTTATTTTTATTATTTCTCTCCTTCTATTTGTTTTGGGATTTGCTTGTTCTTATTTTTCTAGGAGTTTGAGATGTATCATTAGGTCATTGATTTGGGATCTTTCAATCTTTTTAATATATGCACTCATGGCTATAAACTTTCCTCTCAAGACTGCCTTAGCTGTGTCCCATAGGTTCCGGTAGGTTGTGTTTTCATTTTCATTGACTTCCAGGAACTTTTTAATTTCCTCTTTTATTTCATCGATGATCCATTCTTCATTAAGTAATGAGTTATTTAGTTTCCAGCTGTTTGCATGTTTTTTGTCTTTACTTTTGTTGTTGAGTTCTACTTTTACTGCATTGTGTCAGATAGTATGCACGGTATTATTTCTATTTTCTTATATTTGCTGAGGCTTGCTTTGTGCCCTAGGATATGATCTATTTTGGAGAAGGTTCCATGGGCTGCTGAGAAGAATGTATATTGTGTAGAGTTGGATGAAATGTTCTGTAGACATCTACTAGGTCCATTTGATCTATTGCATATTTTAGATCTTGGATTTCTTTATTGAGTTTTTGTTTGGATGACCTATCTATTGATGATAATGGGTGTTAAAGTCTCCCACAACCACTGTGTTGGCGTTTATATATGCTTTTAGGTCTTTCAGGGTATGTTTGATGAAATTGGGTGCGTTGACA